CGTCACGACTTTTGTCGTCCATTCTCTAAAGAGCAGTAGAGGATGTATATCCATATGTGAAAACTAGTAACAATTGAAGAAGTCATTCTCCAGAAATACAAATAATGGAAAAATTGACTACCAACTGCAATTCAAGGCAGAGCTGACAAAAAATTGAAACATGAAAATTTGGTCAATATTGACGAAATATCCAATGTGAAATATTTCATTGTGATTTTATAACGCCTGAAAAATGCAATGAGAACCCAGCAAACATTGAACAAGCGGGAGAAGTCCGGCCTAGTGCAGGCTAGTCTGGGAAAGTGACGATGCCGGGGTATTGGTAATGGGCCAATGATTTTCCTATGCCAAGTAACCATCAGTTGAAAATACGGTGATGGCCTTGTGATGGTAAGATGTCTGGAACTAATTGAATACTTATGAGATCTGGCCCTTTGCTGGCCAATTTCATGTTCGCTACTCGTCCCCCTGGTGGAAGTTCTGGGAACGTCAACATCAACAATCAGCTGATCAATATTAAATGTGAATAAGATGGCTGACTCTTGTGAGTGGTGATCGCGTACAAGTTTGTTTATTTCGATGAATTATTGTGCTCCTCTCTTTCCCATGGTGGTTATTTATGATGGCAGGAGTATTCTCAATTGATAATTATAGAAGACAGATTCTCCGCAATTATGATAATATTGAGTAAGTATCAATCTACCTACATAGTGTTTCGAATTGAATTATTGAATGCATGTGTTTGGTATCTCGTAACCTCATATATCTATTGATCATAATAATTGGAGTGGGCTGTACTTCTTCAAAAGCAACTATCATTTTTAACTCGTTTGTTGCTATCAAAAGCAATCTCAGATTATGTGAACCTATATATCTCTATATTAAAAAACTGAATAACAATAAAAGGTGTCAGCTACAGAAATATCTGTGCCAAGAAAATAATGAGAATTGAATAGCTCCATGCTAACACGTCATCAGATTATATTATCAAGTTATAAACTCATGCAACTCATAGGCCACATATATAAACAAATGATGCATTTTATATTTCAGAAGTAGGTACCTCACAACGAAGAATCGACTTTGAAGGAATGCTACCCAATAAGATGTGGATACCACATACCAACCAGTAAGCAGTCACTCCGAGAAGTTTCATCGTTGAAGAACAGAGAGGTTAAGAAGATATTATTGTGTCATTCATAATATTGTTTTCTTGAAATCTGGTATGATGAGAGGGTTATATTGAGAAATAAAAAGTTACTAGAACTTTCAGATCCATTGGACCCCTAAAACCCCTACCCCTCCCCTACCTCGATAGTATGTAACCAATGTCGTTAATTGGCCATTACAGTCCCATCATTTATGTATATGCTGGGCTTGCTATGGGAAACTCAATGTGCCTATTATGTTGTACTGGCCTTTTGCCGGGGAACTGAATATGTTTGCTGGGAACCCAGCACTGGGACCAGCTGCCGGCCGCATTGTACTGATATATAGAGTCCCGCATATGGGACCATTTACTGGGCCGCTGATGTCAGGTATGGGAAAAATATATAAGGCCATTGATGCCCCATATCAAAATGTTTGCTGGGAATTCATCTACTCAGGTTTTTGATATTTCTCCGAAGATAAAATTGTTAGATACAAAATGTATTTGTTCACAATATAACGAAAACTGATTAAGTAATTTTGTAGTACACCTACTAATAATGAACCACTATTTTAGCCAGAATTATGCTTCTCGTCAATATTCTGTTTTATGGTAGGTATATAGTTTTTTTTTTCATTAAATCGGTCAATATTCACTGTATAATTTTCGCCCTGCAATATTATATAATTTATGATGATGAATTATATAACTACGTAATCACTATTACTACTAAAAAATTACATTCAGATGTAGTCGTAATATGTCATATATCCTCTACTACTCTTCTAAACACTGGATCTCTTATAGACTGAGAATTATTCACTGTATATTCAAAGGCGAATCTTTTAGCGTGATCCACACGTTTCACCTGTTCGAACTTTTTCGAAACTGAGCGAACCGAGAAATTGTTTTCACTGGCTGAATTTTCAAAACCGTTATTGGACGACGGTTCGAGTCTCATAACCTCTAATCATCAGGTGGTTTATGAATATCATACTCCAGTCAATGAACGCCCATTAAGAGGGTGTAGAGGTCATGGAAGAGGACAGAATTTTTGACACTAGATGTGTTTGGAGTAGATAGGAAGTAAAAATTCCAAGTCTTCGAACTTACAAGGTGACCCAAGTTCAGGGGGCGACAGAGAAGATCCCTTTATTAGCTTTTTCGTTCATATCTCAATAACGACCAATCTATTCAAAATAATAGCTGAAAATTGTCTACAAAATTGTACCAGTAGGTTTTTCCGTATATTTATTTCATTGTTTTCGAGATATTCGCATGCGAATCATGTGAATTTTTATCTAGCGTATTGTTGTCAAAACTTCACAAACGATATGATTTCTACAAAATTCTTGAAATACATACTATGACCAAGCGATCTTCAGTGATACACACTGCTCGCCAATAGCCATAGAGCTACACACATTCGAAATTAGGACGTCCAGTTCACTAACTATTCATATTTTTCATGAAAAATTTTCAGTTCTGAAAAATCAAATTTACATTATTCGTTAGCGAATATCTCGATAACTATGGAAGATAGGGAAGCAACCAATTTTGAATAGACTAACTTCTTTTGATGTGACGTACCGTTCTTGAGATATGAACGATAAATCAAAACAAGGGACCTTCTACATTGCCCCCTGTACTTGGCTCACCTTGTACGTTCAGGGACTTTTGGAATGTCCTATCTCCTTCAAAAATTATGTCCTCTCAATAACTCACAGGCGTCATTTAGAGAAGAGCAGGGGGAGGGTAAATGCACCATATCTTCTACAACAAATCAATTTCAAATAAAAGTAGGTCGGTAGGTAAGACATGTAGAACTTGCCGCACTGCAAAAGTTAGGTAAGAGTGACAACATTGACAAACATGCGCTAATGAAATTGACCAAACATTTTTTGCGAAGGAGGAAACAGACTGAGTGGCCTGTCAGTATAAGTATTAGGTGTAGAATTGATTTGCCAAATTCAGAAAAGTCACAGTAGTAATCCCTCGCTTCGTTATAATTGATAGATTATTACCACATTCGCATGATAGGTCATTTTACCGAAAAAGTTAATATTATGGAACCGATTCATATCAAAATATGTGCTAAAGTTGTTGTTACTCTAGTAAAAATCTTTCAATTCAAAAACATTCGTCCTTGAACATAAAAAAATGTTTGCCATATGCAATATTTGTTTGGGGTGCTTGCCTTTCCTGAGGTCCAATTCTCCAATATTTGAAATATTTCTATAGGAATGAAAATAAATACTAGTGTAGTTTGATCACCTATAGAAATAAATACAAGAATTGGGCCCCTGGTAATAAATGACGGCCCTGCAATAAGTATATTCGAACGAACGTTATATACAGTGAAAATAATTCAATGAGGAAACTTCCTACCTCTCCAATGGTTATAATTTCAGTTTCTCCATTGTTAAGAGCTGCCGTTGCTAAATAACCATAATAGTGCTCACAGAATATGTGACAGCCTCGATCTAATTATTTGAAGTTAATTTTCCCATTCAAGGTAAGACGGATTCATGCACTTCACTTTTTTAAAATGTCAAATCTTTCAAATAATATATATACAGTAACATAGGAAGATTGTTGCAAATGTGTCTAGAAGTACCAGGGTTGGGCTGATTTAAATCAATTGATTTAAATCAAGATAAAATCATGATTTAAATCAAGTGATTTTTTTTTTAAATCACAATTTAAATGAAAATAATAATTTCGAGAACATTTATTATTTATTCGAATAATAAAAAATATTAAACTGAAATAAAATAGTAATACCCCTAAAAAACTGGATATTGAAACATATACATATACAGGCTACAGGAATTTTTTTATTTTAATCAATGATTTTTAGATTTGCCCAACCCTGAGAAGTACTGTCATTTCTCATGTGCGACAAGTTCATTTTTTTCACAATATTTCTTCAGGGGTTAGAGAAGATCTTCAAATAAAAAATCTGAAAACATTGAAATATACAGAGATGAGTACCTACCAACTAACATCGATGAAATGAAATGGATATAAACATATCAAAACTTTAATCGAGAATGACAGTGAAGCAACAAATGAAGGAAAAGTGGTGTGCATGAATTTCCCTTATGGTTTTAGAATTCCACATTCAAATAAAAATCTCCCAATCTAATATCTATTGATGTTTCCTAATTATTATAATAAACTGTCATTAAGACAATGGGCGTGTACACCTTGGTAGAACTTTTAACTCAAACCATGTTTATAATGATCCTTTCATACATAAATAATGATTGACGACATAATTCGATCGAAAAATTTACTGGAATGTTCAATTATTGGACATAAATAATAGTACCATCTGAAAACGGACCCTCTTATGACGTAGAAACCTCATCTCGCCATAGTTAAAAGAAAATACCAAACGCCGGACGGAGACTGAGGCAATTGATATATTATTTCTTTCAACTGTGATCTCGCGCTAATTCACTCTGCCAGAAATCATGTATCATTCATCTCTGTCTGGAATAGTCCTGTTTCAGTATTAGGGTTTTGACGTCACATCATCGCCTCGTTTTCAGAGGTCCGAAAATTCGGGGATTTCAATAATTTTTTATAAAACGTAGGGAGCTCACAGCGATAAACGGTTTGCTGTGGTGAGCTAGTTTGGGTGAGTTATATCGAATTATGGAATAAAATTTTTTTGTGATATAAGCCCATTCCAATTCAATTCCTCATTTTTCATGTTGGCCAATCACATATCCTGTGAAAATTCTATTAGGAAATTCATTTCTCCTTCACTTTCTGCAATGTTGTTAATCACATATATAGATGTTTTATATTTATATTTATTGGATAAAAATATACTATGTACTCTTTTTCAAAGATATATATTGATAACAAATTGTTGAATAAATGTGTTTATATTAAAAAAAAAACATATTTGTACACTTCCCAAATCTTTTCAGACGATCCCTCAAATCCACTTGCTTGACTATAGAAAATACAAACCTTAGAACCTTCTCTGGTCGATTTATTGAAGCTGCTCAACAGAAAAATAAACACATACATTAAAATACCTGTAAAAAAGTCAAGACTACGAGTTCATTGAAAATCCTATCAATATACGTCCACACTTCTTTTCACATCATATATAAATCATTGCAACCGCCATATTCACTTGTTCATGTATAATCGGTAAAATCTTCCATTTGCTTATTCACCTTTCCGTCTCCCGCTGATTGACTGGTTTCCCCAGTCTTCCGATCCTGCATCACTTTACTTCGCACTTGTTTTATTTTCCTCAATCTTTCCAGCCAATTCGAGGCATAAGGATCGCTAGATGGGGTTTTCAGCGACCTCACTACCAGAGATGCCAACTAAAAAGTGAAAACCAGTTTGTAAAAACTACCATAGTACAGCCAAGTGTTTTCACGTATATTTTGAACTCCCTCTCAACATCTTTTTTTTTAAGTTTCATAATTTTTCCAGTAGATTTTATATATGTTAAGAGAAAAACAGTTGAGCATCTCAAAAGAAGTTATGGTCAACTTTATAGAACACTCTATCTACATTGCTATTAGCTAGAGTATATTTTTGTGATTCTAAATATGTATATATTACAGTGCTTTCGTAAATTATTGAATAAATTCATTTTAATCCAAACTATCCATTTCAGGGGAATCTCCTCTGAAACTGGTCGATTATTATTTTCGATTTGCCACATTTATAAGAAGAAATTAAATATACACAGTGATCCATGTTTGAGTAATGACGGCCGCGACAATTTTTTCAAATAGAACACCCAATAGATAATTCAATATTTGATATCTCCATGGAAAGCTGAATACGAAAGTGTATTATACATAGGGTGTGTATACAGTGTGTCCAAGATTTGATTAATTCTTCATTAGAAATGTGGGAAATTGAAAATAAAAATCGACCTGTTTCAGGAGATTCCTCAGAAATGTAATTTGGCTGAAAATGAATTCAATCAGTACTTTACGGGAGCATTATTTTTTTTTTAATAGCAACCCTGTTTTACCAAAGCACAATATAACAAACGGACTATATACAAACACTACCTTGAACTTCACATTCTCTCCCAATTGTCTTCACTGATGATTACAACATTTTATTTGGCTAGGGTAAGAAAAATGAACGATTATTAGCTGGCAACAATTTCAAATTAACATAATTATCCTAGTGAAAATGTGAAATTCAACGTTAAATACCTCGAGCTCTGTTATAGCTGACATACCATATACAGGATGAATCTGAAAGTGAGGTTTTTTCTCAACAGAATATATATCTCGCTGATATAAAATATTCAAGATAACGGAGGTACACATATTTGAAGGTTTAAAGAAGACTACTTTACAACATTTTGTTTGCATTTTCTCAAAATCACGCAGAAAATCCGTTATAAGTTCAGCATTATTTACCCTACAGTTGCATTATTTCACCAGAAAAATTAATCAAAAACCTCTTTTTATATTTTCAACCTATTAATTATCGTTTTTAAGTAAACCAAAAAAACGTTAGGAGGGAAATGAATCATTAGGCCAAACAACTCATTTTGGCGAGATGAGAGCGAGATGAATACATATTTGAAATCACAAGAATATACTCCATTCAATAGTCATAAAATATATAGGGTGTTCCATTTGAAAGTTCATATAAGTTGTCCTTAACTTTTTTTTGAGATGTTGAACTGTTTTTCTGTTAACATAAAATGTCTTCTGATCGTGACGTCATGAGCCCGCTCGATATTTCGCGCACTAGCTTTGTGTCTTTTTGTGAGTAATTATGTGAACTGCATTCGAAATTTGCTGTTTTCAATTCATATTCATTGTTATTGCGAGTGTGCAAAGAAACTGATTGATTGAGACAATTATGGTAATTAATTCAGTATTTGAAGAATCAGAAATCAAATCTCTCATAATTCATTACACGCTGTGAAGTTACGAGGCCCAAAGTATGGTTCATCAATCTAAAATGACATTCCAATGCTGAAAAACAATCAATAACCAAAGTCAAAACTGTAAGCAAATACAAATAATCCCAGTTAGACAGCTTTCCACCAACCCAAAAAACGGGTAATCATGTACAAAAATATTCAAGAAAAGACAATAAAACATCCTAATTCTACCGACTTTGGGAGATTCGTGGTACATTATAACACCATTATTTTTGTGGCTGATAGCCGATGTTCGAAACTAGTTACACTTTATATTTGACTATATTTTTGTCGTCGAATGACTTAGGATGATTTATTCAATTTTCTTGATCCTTATATTCAATCAACTACTCACGTTAGCATGTATGGCCAACTGCCTCGCTAATATCGCTACATTTTCATCAGACACCAGTTTGGGTTCACACAGCGGTAACAAATTCGATAGCTCTTCTTTCACTTTAACCACAACTTTGTTGATGCCGTGATCTAATGGTTGGATTATAACGCAGGCGAATGTGAACTGCCCCTAAGAATAAGTTTCAGAGTCAGTAATGTCAGTATACAGCGTGTCTCAATTTAAACGCCCCTCCTCCCTCATCTCAGATATTATAGTCGTGCGAATCGTACTAAATTTGAACCAGAATGAATAACGATTGATATGATCAGTTCTTCAGAGACGAACATACTTTTCGACAGTGCCGTACGCTTTTATTAAAATAAAAAAGATCGATTTTTCATGAAATCATATTGGGCATTTTTCGCATGAAAAATAACTTCATATTATGTTCGTTCCTCATGCTTCCGAAACTAAATATGCAAAAAATCATCTCATTCTGAATCAACAGGATGGGCTTCATTTTTCTTTGCAAATTTTGGATCGTTCAATAGCTCCCTCCGGTAGGTCGAAAATGATGATGAAAAAACAAAGTATACTTTTTTTACCTGTTTTTCTTATCCTTTCATAGAAATTATATGAAAATATTCATAGGTATGGGTGTTTGAAACCATGAGGACCAATATTATGAGGTCAGTTTACCTGTTAAAAAAATCCTAATATGATTTCATAAAAAATTGACCACTTTTCGTTTTCATAAAAAAACGCAATCCAAAATGATGTTGGGCTCTGAAAAACTGATCACATTGATGATTATTCCGGTCCAAGTTTGGTAAAAATCGCCCTAATAATAGCTGGGCTATAGGGGAAGGCGTTGAAAGTGAGACATATGCTGTAGAATGAATAATTCAAAACTGTTTATGTCGATGAATTTGAATAGAGGTGTTTCGTTTCTCTAGATTTTTTGGGATTATCTTCCCTCTGGAATCGAGTGGAAAGTTTGTCCGCGAGTTTGGATAAACCATTTCAAACGTGTTATATTACTTTCTATACAAGATTCCAGAAATACAAAAGAGACGATAAGACTATTGAAGTTCGAAAGAATTCAAGGTGTTCGAATTTTGAAAGCAGTGTTAAAATTATTCATTTCAACACACCAGTTCAAAATCACGTTTGTTCCGAAACAATTTGACAATGTGGAATGTACAATTTCTTCGATAGTGTTAGAGCAAAATATAAATACTTATTTCAAGTGAGGTTCTAAACGGAAGATGACGGAAGATGATGGAAGTTCTATCACAAAACATGATATTTCTTGGTCTACAGCTTGCAAGCATCATTCTTAGCATGCTTCAAGTTCTGCTACTAGTGGCGCAAGTGAGAATTTTTGTTTCGTCTACAACCTATTTTGATCATTATGGAACTGCCAGAGCAAAAATTAGACATATATCATACAGTGTGACCCACTTCTAATGGAAACACCCATGTATCTTACATAATCGTTGGGTATGGATCCTGAAATTTGCTGGAGCGAGAGAAATACCAAAAATGCACTCTTTGACCAAGAGGGGTCACCTCAATTTCCGGAAAATTATATTAGGAGTCAATATTGATCGAAAATATCACTTCAGATTCGGAATCAGGACGCCCAATTGAGTACCTATTAATATTTTTCCTGGAAAATTTTCAGTTCTGAAAATTTAAATTTTGTCGCACTTTTCACGAAAGCACCCCCATATCTTACGTAATTGACTTTATCTTTGGACTTCCCCTTCCTCCTGCAAATTTCAGAACACTACCTCAATAATTACGTGAGATACGGGGGTGCTTCCATGAGAAGTGAGACAAAATTTAATTTTTCTGAACTGAAAATTTTCTAGGAAAATTATGAATAGTTAGTGAATTGGGCGTCCTGATTCCGAATCCGAAGTGATTTCCAACCTATTTTGACTCCTAATATCATTTTCCTGAAATTGGGGTGGTTTCATGGCTGTTGGCGAGCAGTGTATATCACTGACGATGACCCCACTTGGTCATAGAGTGCATTTTTGGTATATCTCTCGCTCCAGCAAATTTCAGGATCCTTTTCCCAACGATTACGTAAGATACAGGAGTGTTTACATCAGAAGTGGGTCACATTGTATATCGAAAATGGGAATAATTATCTGCTTCTTGTAAATACCGTTGCATTTATTTTGTGTTCGATTTTCATGATATTCATCCCAATAAATACCAAAAGTTTATTTTAAATGCATATCGGGGCAACAAGTTGTCATTTACAATATATCTGAACACTTCAAAAAATTAGCTGAGTACTTTTCACGTTATTCTCCACTGTGTGTTTAACAAAAAGGTCATTTTCACCATGCCTCTAGAACAACTTGAAGAAAGAGGTTGGCACTAAATAAAAAGTTTATCCTAAATACATATCAGGGCAACAAGTTGTCGTTCACAATATATCAGAACACTTCAAAAATTAGCTGACTCCCTAAGTACTTTTCGCGTTATTCTCCACTTTGTGTTTAAAAAAAAAGTCATTTTCAGCAACAACTTGAAGAAAGAGGTTGGCATTAAATAAAATGGATTACCAATGTCCTGTACCTACGTACCTTTATAGTGCTGTTGTTGAATTCCGCACCACTCTCGTTGTAAACTATCGTGACATAATTGTTGCCGATGTGCATCTTCTTGTTGTTGCAAAGCGGATCAGATTCCTTGTTGGGCATCATTGTAGCGACGTGGAACATAATGCGTATCAGGTCATCTTGCCAGATGTAAGCGAATTTTCCATCGTTGCCATGTTGGTCCAAGCCACCAAGGAAGAAAATCTAATTGTGAAAAGATAAGGCGATAGAAAATAAGCGAACCACGTCTTGCCGATATACAGGGTGATTCAAAATTCGATGTAAATATTTCAAGGGCGTATTGTGGGGATCAAAATAAGACTTTTTCTTCAAATCAACATGTGTCCTAAAATGCACCCCCTCCGAGCTACACTGTAAGGTGGGAAAAAAAACAAGATTATCTAAAACTGTGACTATAATAACGAATCGAATCTTCTGAAAATTGGCATACCCCTGTTTTTTTAGGCACTCTATTTTTTTTTTGCTTCAAAAATTATGTAAACCCAGTTTTGGGGGAGTTGGAGGGGGGTCCACACTTTTATTGGCCCAATTTTTATGTTCAAAAAGAGAAACTCCGAATTCGAATAGCATAATCTTATTGGCCATAAAAAAAACTAAGAATTCGGTGTCTTGCATTTTTGTCATACAACTAACCGTTTGCCAGAAAATCGTAATCAACGAAAGGGGGTATTTTCACAAACATTGGTTTAAACGAAAATTAAAATAATCCCTGTATCCAAGTCAACAACTCCTTTGGTCAATCAAGCATAGAAATTGAAAATACATGGAGGACATTATTCAAGGACAAATCAATTATAGGGATTTACAAGCTGTAAAATATCGTTTACTTTACTCCCAGGAATTGTCGGCCACCCCCTATTCAAAATTAGGTAGGTAACAGGCAACTGTTTATAAATCCCTCTCATCACCTCGGTAATGTCATTAAACACTAATCATTGTTAGTTGTCAGATTTTAGCTGGTTGATTACACTTGTTATTGCGATCAAGAAATTTGTTTTAAGTTAAAAATGGAAAATGTGCCATTCTCTTTCGCTCATCTTGCTGACATTCATTTTGTTTATGGTCTGGCTGATGGTAACGCATTGGAAGCCCAAAGATTATACGGAATTAGGTTTCCTCAACGCCGACTCCCCGATCATCGTACATTTACAAATTGTCATCGTCATCTCAGTGAATACGGCAAATTCCAAACTGTAAGAAATGATGCAGGCAGGCCACGAGAAATTCGCCACCCAGTAACAGAGGAACAAATTTTAAATATGATCGACGAAAATCCCCAGTTGAGTACTAGACAAATATCTTTAAATTTGGGTATTTCCCAATCAACTGTGTGGCGCGTTATGCACGAAAACAGCTTATATCCATATCACGTCCAACGTGTTCAAGGTTTGCTGCCACGGGATTTTCCGCGGCGTTTGCAGTTCGCTAGGTGGATATCCAGGAAGTGCACGAGGGATCTTAACTTTTTATCTCGGATCCTGTTCACCGACGAATCTCAGTTTACGCGAGATGGTGTGGTGAATTATCACAATGTACATGTTTGGGCACTGGAAAATCCGCATGAAATAAGGCAATCCCGCCATCAGGAACAGTTCAGTTTAAATGTATGGGCAGGAATTGTTGGAAATGAGCTTATTGGTCCTTTCTTTTTTCCAAGAGTTTTAAATGGGGACACTTACCTAGATTTTTTGCAAAACGATTTGCCCGGTTTATTGGGAAATGTGCCTTTTAACATTCGTCTACGCATGTGGTTCATGCATGATGGTGCTCCCCCTCATTTCCGTTTAACAGTACGCCATCATTTGAATCTTATTTTTCCAAATCGTTGGATTGGTAGAGCTGGTGCAATAGCTTGGCCGCCACGTTCCCTGGATTGCACCCCATTAGACTTTTTTTTATGGGGATATGTGAAAAGTGCTGTTTATGATGCTGGGCCCGTGCATTCGGTTGAGGTCCTCCGTCAACGCATCATTGATGCTTTCCAAAACATAAGAACCACTCCTGGGATTTTAGAACGTGTTCGACGTTCTATGCAAAGAAGAATGGAAAGTTGTATAGCAGCAAGGGGAGGACATTTTCAACATTTATTATGAGATTAATAATTATTTAATTACCCAATAAAGTTAGTTTGATATTGTGAAAGTACCCCCCTTTCGTTGATGACGATTTTCTGGCAAACGGTTAGTTGTATGACAAAAATGCAAGACACCGAATTCTCAGTTTTTTTTATGGCCAATAAGATTATGCTATTCGAATTCATAGTTTCTCTTTTTGAACATAAAAATTGGGCCAATAAAAGTGTGGACCCCCCTCCAACTCCCCCAAAACTGGGTTTACATAATTTTTGGAGCAAAAAAAGAATAGAGTGCCTGAAAAAACAGGGGTATGCCAATTTTCAGAAGATTCGATTCGTTATTATAGTCACAGTTTTAGATAATCTTGTTTTTTTTCCCAACTTACAGGGGCTGTAGCTCGGAGGGGGTGCATTTTAGGACACATGTTGATTTGAAGAAAAAGTCTTATTTTGATCCCAACAATACGCCCTTGAAATATTTACATCGAATTTTGAATCACCCTGTATAGGTACCTAATTGAAACTACATGGGATGTTTGTATATATTCATGTTTGCTTGTATTTTATTGGAAATTGAATCATCAGTTTTCATTTTCAAAAAGTAACTAATAGTTCAATCAAATGGTGCACAAAAACAGCTTGAAGTGGAAAGTTCTGGTGTAATTAATTTCAGTGGTTTATAGTATGCTCTTTGATGTGCTCAACACGAATCTTGAGTTGTCCACCAAAAATTCCATCGGCAAATATCAGAAAATACCAAAAGAGCACACAAAATTATGTTTTTTAATGGTTTTCAGCTTTCAACTCGCAAAGGGAGCCGTTCACACAAAAAATTAACGAGTAGTAAAATCAAGAGGGAAAAATTATCTACAATTCATGTCTTATGATACTTTTTGGTATGTCATTTGGTTTCCATGCAAAAGAGTTCTTCGTCAGATTGTTTAGCAATTGTGATTCTTTGAAAAATAGTCGTAGAATTATTCGGAATGGTTTCATTACTTATTTTGAATTCCATTGGGAATGCACCAGTTCCTTCGCGAGTTGGAAGCTGAAACCATTTGAAACATGATTTTTGTGCTTTTTCGTATTTTATGATCACCAGCACCAGAAGCAGTTTTGAATCTAATATCTTACAAGTGCATGAAAACCTGTCAGACCAACTGTGGGTCCCAAAAATTGTGAAAATAGCTGCAATAACATGGCCAGCCATTGAAGAAGAAGCAGAGGATGATTCGGAGTTGTCTGATCCTCTGGAAGGTAACTACATGAATAATTCTTTCGCACCTTTATTTTTCCTCTCACAATTCATTTGTGTTTTCGATCAATAATCAATAACGATAAATAAGTCGAGTACGTATAAAAATGTCGAAGAAATCCTCAATAGGTATTGCTTTTATATCTAATTGATATATTGTTGAAATTATTGAATTAAGTCAATGATTATTTGTAACAGGCGTAGAAGAACTTGAAAGCTGCCCTGGAGGAGCCACGGAGTCTGTGTCTAGGAGGAGAATTTCATTTGACAGTGATATGTTTATCTGAATATTTGGAATGAAAACTATGAATTAGTTCAATTTTTTATTTTTTTCCAAAAATCACTGATCCACTAAAACTTCAACACTCTTTTGCATGGAAACCAGATGACATACCAAAATGTATCATGAGACATGAATTGTAGATAATTTTTTCCTCTTGATTTTACTACTCGTTGATTTTTTGCGGCTTCCTTTGCGAGTTGAGAGCTGAAAACTATTAAAAAACATAATTGTGTGTGCTCTTTTGGTATTTTCTGATATTTGCCGATGAAAGTTTTGGTGGACAACTTTAGATTCGTGTTTAGCACACCAAGAAATAAAGAATAAGCCAATGAAAACAATTACATCAGAGCTTTCCACCCTGAAATACCGTTTGATTAGACTATAAATCAATCAGGGTAAGTCAAATCATGTTCATTCAACTTTGAGGTAATAAACGTGGAAGTCAATGGTTTTCCGAAGTGGAGTAGTAGTGAGTAAATGATTTTTACAATTTCCGTCAAGGAACATGTTCCGGACCTATATGGTGCTTGTATTTAGTGTTATTTTATTTCCAGTGATGGTATAAATAGTTCTAGAACAAGCAGAAGAGGTCCCTTGTCATTAGTCGCGGTTTTTGTGATTCTCTGGTGTAGGAATTATGTAGGAAGGAATGAAACGGCAAACAATGAAGAATGACATTGATATGATGACAACCGTGTGACAATCACATACAATCAAAATGACCTATGAGATTGTTATTCCAAGACTCAATACAAAGACCTTTCAGGGCCATGGTTATTTATGCACATGTTTCCTCTTTTGTTGGCTCATCTTTTCCATCAGTAGAAGAACTATTCTCTATTCCGTATCTACTATTTTTTTTTCAAGTTTTTGATTACAATACAATCAATATGATGTTTGTCAAATTCTCCTTTTATGTCAAACATTCCACCACACATTCGATATTCTGAGACCGAATGGCCAGTGGCACCAGGATGATAAGAAATTCCACAGAATAGTCAATAAAACAGTGATTCTGTCCCACTGGTGACACAAGCAAAGTCAATTAAACGCAACTATTGCCGATCTAAATGAACACCTAGTTAGTAGACAAGAGGTATAAAATTGTCTGTTCAGAGAAAATAATCTACGTCATCGTTGAGAAAGAAGTGTTAAAGTATTCACATGAGTCCACATCTTGTAGAAGTGCAAAATGGAAGTCCAAATCAAACAAACCAACTAACGAACTTGAAAGCCACTCAAATCAAAATTGTAATTTGTCCGAGGTGACGTTTCGAATACTTCAACCTGAAATTGTCCATTTCGACAAATATTCTATGGCAGCAAATGTGCTCTCGATGATATTAGTAAAGTAGCACCTTTGACATGCAAGCAAATTTTGTGTAAATGAACACGAAATTCGCGGTCGCCAAGGTCATTAGATGACGTTGCGATGCCATCAAAAACTACGGAAAAACATGTCTAACTTTCAATATACCGGGTGTCCCAAGTTATCATATACAGGCAATATCTCGCTTATTTGTCGAGATAGTTGAAAAATTCAAAATCTTCATTGAATGGCATTAAATTACCTTCCTAATAACATGAAAAAATCCATTATATTTGACTGTTCTCTGGCAGCTACCCCCCACATTTTATTCTCAAATGGCATCCTCTGTATATTTTCATTGGAAATTACGTGTCACTCAATTTGGAATACAACGATAGCGTATACTAGGTATTTTTTCATTGATAACAAAAATATCAACATTTTGTGACTTGTTTCAAGTTACTCAATTATCCTTATAGAAATGAAATATTGCCTCCGCTCAAGTTTTTTGTTTCAAGAAGCCGATACTTCTCATGTCATAATAATTTTGAACACTTGCTGTGATTTTTAGTTCATTTTTTGATTCGCATAAAAGCTATTTTAGTTGATTTTCATACTTCATTTAATGTTGCTGTTCTTGTTGTAATAATAAAAAAATACCAAGTATATGCTATCGTTGTATTCCTTATCGGATGTCACGCAATTTTCAATGACAATATACAGTGGCCAGGTGCCATTTGAAAATTAAAAGTGGGGGATAGCTGCCAGAGAACTGTCAAATGTAATAGATTTGTTCATGTCAATGCCATTCAGTACAGTTTTTTAATTTTTCAATTATCATGTCAAATAAGCGAGAAATTGCCTGAATATGATAACTTGGGACACCCGGTATGCCAGAAGTTAGGATGTTTTCCCGTAGTTTTGAATGTCATCGCAACGTCATCTTATGACATTACGACCGCGAAAATTATACCTCTCACCTAGATGTACAGAATTGAGGTCTCATTTATAACACATCTGGACGCCTCAGTGACTCCAATATATTTTCCTACTCCATGATATTCAACTTCATGTTTATTACCTAAAAGTATGTAACTGATAAATAAGCTAGGGTACTTCAATTTCATAAGTTTCACATATATAACGTAAATTTCAAACGAATATCTGCTGGAATCTTTGAATCATAATTAACAAATAAGGAGGTGTTCACTCTCCCGACCGTTCAACAGGCTAACCGCCAGGCTAGATGGCGGAAAAGAGTAGTTCAGTTGCATTGTCTTATCAACCTTAGGATAGTATTCTCAAACCCTGCACTTACAAGTTTTTTTCAGTGAACATTTTTTTATGTCTTTTCCAAAAATCTAACGTTAGACAGCGATCAAAAGGAGAGATGTAAGTAGCTTCGGAAAGATGGTCGATCCTCTAGCCTAGAGGTTGATCTGCTGTACCATCGGCAGACCAAACACTTTCCACAAAAACACAGTGAAGAATAAATATTTCTTTGATTGATACACGCCTATTCCAAGATCCAATAAGAGTTCTTCAATTTCCTGAAACCGACTAATCACCAGACATTTGTAGTGATAAAAAAGCTACCTATCTTTCCCAATAACCGATAAATATGCCTCGATTTCAATCAACACAATTGGATACTTTGACAACTACTGTCATCCTCACTACCATCAGATAATTTTCGAGTTTTCTTTACACAACGTTCTCGCGATTTTTTTCACTCCTTTGATTCTCGATTGTTTGCCGTGACGATAAAACTGTCAAACCATTAAACATGTATTCATCGATGAAAACATTATTTCCTATCCGATAAAAGAATTTCAAAGAATAAAAATATACAAACGAATCAATCCAAGTTTTCGAGTAACCACTCTGATTATAATGGCTTACCTGTGGATCGACATCGGCCAGTTTCACCAACGATCCCAACTGTTGCAGAAACTCAACATACCGCAAAGACCCGAACCTATTTTTGTAAATGTCAACTTCGGAATTCACCTGTCCTTCTCGAACGTAGACCACCCCGACTTTGTGGGTTTCGTATGGAGCTATGAGGTCCAAAACCTGTAAAAAATGTCAGAGAGCTCGACTTCTAGGTGAAACGAAACGAAAAATGTTCATTGTCATATTTATTCTGAATAATTACTTCTCGCAGATTTCATGTACCTGACTTGAATCAATGAAAATTTCACAAATTCACCTTGTTATATTGTGAAAAATCCATACCTCTTAAATGACTAAATGAGTCAAAATTCGAAATAATAAGTTTCAAAACAGACATTTCAAATTGAACAAAAAAGCTGTTGGCTGCCTATGAGCGGCTCTGTTTGTTAAGTAGCCATGACATATGTCAACTTGCTATTGAGAAGTGTCAACAGACATAAGCGTAGAAAATAAAAACTTTTTTTGAAAACGAAGTGACTCACTACCAACGCTTATAGGATCTTGTCATCTTATTTTTTCAGGAGCTATCTGTATCTGAGAGATTTCCCACATGTTCACGGACACCCTGACTATAGCAATACCACTCGTCCTGATAGACTCGTGGTGTTGCTCAGCTATACAAGCGAAAGAATTTGGGTGAACAATTTCAGTCTCATCATGTCGAAATCGAAAGTCCCAAAAGTCTCAGATATATTATAAACATAAAAACATGGATACATATGATATATGTGAATGCGGATTCTCACATTCTCTGTCTGATAAAAATATTAATTCTTTCTCGGTATATCCAATAGAAAACAACTTTTTCCTGGATATATGCCATGACGAATATTGAATTACATCTATTGAACACACGAAATAAGTGTTTGAAAATAAAATCTTCTGTAGTTGAGAATTTTCATCTTTCAGATAAATATATATACAGAGTGAACCATTCGGAATCGGGCCACCCTCATTTTTTTTTCTGAAATAGCGGGAAGAGAGATGTATTTTTGAGCCAAGAGGCATCAGTTTTTTTTTCAAATCAAGGCCTACTAGATCACATTCAGAGGCTGAAAACTCCAGAATTTTTCAGGAAAAAACCGCGTACACCACTGGAATCGACGTCCACTGAAATAGATCTGTACCAAGTTTCATGAGACAATCATTCAAAGCATTATACATACATTAATTATAAAATATACAATTTTTTATGTAACTACGAGTTACGCACATTTTTCTTAAAGTTATTCACGTAGCTATGTTAAAGATGGTTTTGCTGTGTTTGTTGCCATTTTGGGACTTTTTGTGTTTCCATTGATTTTCAGTGCTTTCTTGTTATAAAACTATATTGTAGCATGTAAATTTTCATTACTGTATATTTTGTCTGATTCTATAATATTCTGTAATGCTGAGCACATCTGACAGGATATTTTGTCACAATAACATGGTTAACATTTTTCAATAACATAAATTGAACTCAATCGTCTGCTTCATATTATTTAATTATTCTCAAACCTGATATGTGGATACACACCTGAGATTTCACACTGTACATAAAATAAAAATACAATTTCTATAAATAATACACTGATATCTCTTGCTATATCTGCTTTGTTGTGATCCAAGTAGAAGGATGATTCGGATGGTTTTTACAGAAACTTATCTGAAAGAGATAAATAATATAAAGTAATATGAAATACCATTTCAGAGACATTGTCATACTCACTTCTCACACTGCTATTTCCACTTGAAACTTCATCACAGTAGGACGATAGGTATTGGATTTTCCAGGAATGCTGAGGCGTATGGTTTCACTAGGAATTGATCAATTTGAATCAATTAACTTCGTTTGGCATTATTTTCTTGATTGATGCATTTGATAAATTCAGGTTGAGGTTTTGATCTTGTTGATCTGTTATTTCGCTTTACGTCAATTAGCTGTCGGTCATGACACCATGTCAACAGTGTCAAACTTGTCATGCGCCAAACGCCGATTCGGATTGATATGTCCTTAGATGATCATCGTCGAACCAACAAGACGAGTATGCGTGAAGAAAGGTGTGACGTCATTTTGGTCATCAATTCTGATTGGTTCAGATAGACATCTGGGAAGAATCAGGTCTCTGGAGGGAGTAGCGATAACGTCTTTTATTTTGGATATTCAAATTTTCCGCCAATTTGAAAAACGGAAACCGTTAAGTTGTTCTCGAAGTTTCTGGAAATTTGGAGAAGGGATTTCCTTTCTGGTCATGAGACAAGAGCTCACTTCAGAAAATTCTTCGTGGTGGTCAAGTGCCATTTTTGTGGTGTGAACCGGCTTCTGAAGTCCTGTACCGCCTGGCGTTCTGGATCACATCAGGATATCCTGGGTTTGCTGCTGATCTACAAGGACTGCTGGTCTCTACAGATTCTTCTGGTTTTGGTTTAAGAGACAGGATCTTCATGGTTCATCACCCAGGCAGCCACGTGCCTACCTGCATCGTCATTACGGCCATTTCAGTCCCTAACCCTTCATAGAAGGTGAGTCTCGCATTATTACGTTTTTTCTCTCTGCAGTCCAGAAATTCAGAACCTCATTTCATGAATTATTTAAGGGTTTTTTCACCGGGAGTTTTCTACCGGGAGTTCTACAACGGGAGTTATCCTACCAGGAGCACTATTCTTCCCAGGAGTCATTGCTCGACCAGGATCTGTTAATTCTACAAGGCGTTTGGTGTCTATATAGTAGTCTGGAATCTGGAATCTGGATATCGTCCCCTGTTTGTTCCTGATATGATGGATTTTCAAGGTGGAAATACGACAGCTCTGTCAATGTCATCTGACATCCAGGGATGTGAAGTCAGCACCCCGCTCTCCGCCAACCTTCCCCGCAGCAGTTTCATTTAGTAGCACTGAAGCCATTTATTGCTACTCTGGATAACTGGTGTAGGACACACCATACAGGTTTTTGACATAAAAATATATTTTTATTTTTCATTTTTATTCACTCATAATGCCCATTGCTAGTGTGTATAATGGACCATTTTTAAATCATAGCCAGGTCATAAATTGATGAAATCACACATGAAAGGTATATACTTCCCCTCCACATAGTATACTATGCGCTGGTAGAATTCCTCCACATTTAATATTTTTTGAAAATCTGCTATGAATATAAAACGTCCTTACAGGAGCTTTTGATTTTTCAAGTACAATATAAGGTTGATTTATACCTATTTTCATCCACATAATAGCAGGCAACAACAGTGTAGTTTCTTAATAGGAAATAAGTATCTAATATTTTTTTGATTATGCATATTTGTCAAAACCATGTGATATATGAGTCCTATCATCATAATTAAATGTTTTGGGTATTTTATATGACTGTTTTATTTGTTTATTGACATGACACTCCAACTCACAACATCTCTAAGGTAAATTTAGGTCTTTTAGTCTGGGAGAACAACTAATATTATTCATTATCTGGTTGCTCAACTTTCCAGGTAACATTTCATTTGAATTAAAAGTTGCAGTGGCGCCCCATCTTTTTTGTTTAACCTTATGATTGCTAGATAACTGAATTTTTGCTATTTTAACTCATTTTGATAACTCGAACTCATAGTGCCTACTGACGAAGAGCTGCCGTTCGCAATGCACCTATTTTTCATAAAAGTAGGGCTGCAATATAAAGACAATTATTAATAGACTATTATGGTTCGCCAGGTCGCAGATTGTGGAAAAGTTACCCATTCAAACCCCAAAATCAGTATTTCGACGGTGAGTATAAGGTTTCATGTTTTTTTTAACATGAGCAATGGTGTAGTTATCGCAAGTTATTTAACTAAATGATTGCTTGTTTCGTTTAACTAAATGATTGTTTGTTTCGTTCAAACTCCACTGAATGATGGATGGGATTTTGTCGTTCAAATTACCTAACAAGTAAATGTTTGAGATTGTCAGAAGTTTTATAGGCAATGTTGATGTTGAGAGTTTTAAAAATGTTTGCAATCTGTATAGAATAATGACCGTAATAATGTTTGATTTAGAATGTCTATGTATGTATGATGTCAATTTCAAAAATGTCAATCTGTCAATCATTTGTCTTGTGTATCTCACTCTGGTGCTAGGTTTTGCTTTGTCTTATGGCCGCCAGCCTACATACGATCTCAATGAATTTTTGAGTGAAACATTTTTTCAATTTAATCCCATTAATTTCTTCTAATGTTCAACAAGATTGTTAATAGCTTTTTCTGGTTGTTCAGCCGCTATAAATCAGTATTGTACAATTAGGACTGATTTTTCCGGCTGAGAACCCCCATTTCAATGTGTTTAACCTTATTATTGCTGCACATGGTAAGATTCCTCTCATCAGTAGGCTTTGTATATTTTTTCATCGTTGTTCCTTACAGGTGCTTTATATTATGTGTCTGATGATGGCCGAGTGCCGAAAGTAGTTACACGTCTTATGTCGTAATAAATGTGTTGTGGTCGATCGACTTTGGGTTTTTTTGTATATTTTTCCTCCGAAAAATTCTGGACCACTTTGAGAAAAAAGGATGGTTTCCACGCCTTTCGTTTAAGTTGGTAAATAATATGATAGACTCAATCCCAATTAATAATTCCATTCGATATAACGTACCGCAATATCACACTCCAAGTCATCAATTATTTCGCACAAAAGCGGTCAACACAAATTACTATTTGAACTCCCCCCATCATCGTTGCTTCAAAAGCTATAATTCAATATCAATTCTGATTGATATTGATATATTTTGTAATTCATTTACCACCTTTGTAAATAAACTCAAAACATACTTTTTCTCGAACCTTTGAATCCTCGTTAGCACCTTGCAGATTTATTGTATTTCTTTCAAATTTCTAAATTTTGTATGCCATCCTAATTTTGTATTAGGTTCCCCACTAAATTTCTAAAATAAGTATTATAATAATTATCATGTCATATGACTACCTGTGAATACTGTTTTTAGGCTCGTCCTGTTTGTATTCCTGAATATAAAATGAATAAATAAATAAATGAAATGTCTCCCCTCTTTTTATATGCGCATGGCAATGAACAAACCTTGACCGCCCTCTGAGCCACCTCGTTGTTCTCCACCAAAATGGGCCGCTCGTTCCTGCTGCCGAAGCTCGCCGTGTGGTACAGCTGCAGCAGCACCGAGCTCGGGTTGATGCCGCTCTTCGGCGCCTCCTTCGACCTGGCGGCAGGCCGGAATTCGGCGCGTGGCTTGCGCGTGGCCGGGTTCATCACCGAGATGGTGTGCACGCGGTCTCGTTTCTGGCCGACGTTGAGGTCGATGGTGGCCAGACGTTCGACGCTGCCGCTGGTCTTGCGCTCTTTGGCGCGTTCTCGAGCCAGGTTGATGTTCAGGTTGGTAGTTGAGGCGGAGGTGGTTTTTTCGATGATGGAGGACGAGGAGCTCTTCTGGATTTCGCGACCTATAATCACAAAAGTTCTTTCTAGTATTCAAACAATAACTTGATTCGAATAAATACCCTTCTTATCAATTTCTTGAAGACTGTTTGTCGTTGAATAATTCCCAAATTACTACTTCTCTGACGATCATAATTATATGGGAATAACATCAGAAAAAAATAGGTTTTGTTATTGAACAGAGCTAGACAAAAAAGCGAGCGACAAAATAGTGCGGAACAAATAGCGCATAAGGGAGGATACTACTTTCTCTAAACAATCTAACCTAACTCGGCTTAAATGAACCTCATTAGAAAAAATATATATTTTCAACATCGATCAGATTTGGTAGCAAGGCATCGTTCGTGTGTTTGAAGACTGCATAAAAAAGGACACTAATTTTTCCAAACAATCTAACCTAACTCGACCTAAATCAACCTTCTTCTTGAAAAACATATATTTTCCAACATCGTTCAGATTTGGTAGCATGGCATCGTTCATGTATGATTGAAGACTGTTGCTGAATCAAAATGTGCGCGTGAAGAAAGGTATGGGTGAATCGAAATGAAGGCAAATGAAAATGTGGGTGGGCCTAACAAGACAGACAATCAGTACCTGTAGCCTCACTTCCTATATCCAGCGCGATACCTCGTCATGAATATTAATTCCAAAATGTCTCTTTTTCTTTTTTATTTTGTCGAATAGCTCCGGCATGCAAAGGATGGTTACATTGAAGAGTGTTTTTGAAATTAATGAATGAAACAATAATTCTCCGATACAACTTGGCAACCACGCATTTCCTCACCACGGAAATAGGATTTTTGTTTACTCGTTACCATGACGATCGTTGCCATGGCAATAGTTTTTCCATAACTGATTTCTGCCAAACTAAACCCTATACAACTTTTCAACCACGCATTTCCTCACCACGGGAATCGGGGTTTTGTTTACTCCTTACCATGACGATCGTAGCCACGGCAACAGTTTTTCCATAACCGATTTCAGCTATACTAAACCCGATACAATTTGGCAACCACGCATTTCCTCACCACAGGAATCGGGTTTTTGTTTACTCGTTATCACGACGATCGTTGCCATGGCAACAGTTTTTACACAAGTGATTTCAACTATACCAGAGATAATACACTCCCCGCTATACTAAACCCGATACAACTTGGCAACCACGCATTTCCTCACCACGGGAATCGGGTTTTTGTTTACTCGTTACTATGACGATCGTTGCCATAGCAACAGTTTTTTCATAACTGATTTCAGCTAAACGAAACTTGAGCCGTATTTTCACTCAAACAGTCGACTAGCAATTCATCTTCAGTAATTTTGCAATTATTATGCAATTGGGTTCTTCTCGAACATTGTTTTTGATATCCACTCATTTAGTCTGAAGAACGAGTAATATTTTAATGAAAATGTGAACAAATCACTATTTATCCAGATATTTCACGAATAAGTTCGAAAATCCACCTTTTTTGGTCCGTTTTGGATACGACTTTTGAGTTTGCCTTTCTCCTTTTGTTATTGAACACTCTATAGATTCACGATGTACTTCAATGGCACATTTTATATATGTAAATCAACAAGAACTGTGATTTTTTTATGGATTTTAAATATTCAGTTAACAATAATACCAGCCAGTGGCGGATTTCGCGGTAATTCAATAATCATCAAAGATATAATATGCTACAAATACGAGATGTCAAATGAATATCAAATGTCAAATGTGAAAGAACACAAACTTTCAGACCAATTGCTTTTCAATTACGGCACACCTGCCACATTTCAGATAACATTCTTATTTTCCGTAATTGTATATTGTTTAACGAGCACGGAATGATAGTGATTTCCTACGCCTATGACTCATGCTGCAATCATTCGAGTAGGAAATTAGCATTCTGTGCAAGTTTTCTACGGCTATAATAGATAACAGCGGCATTTTTGATTTCTTCGTCTTGAAGCCATCTGATTGCCTGTCAAGTAATGCTCATCTATTAGACAAAGCTGTCATTGCTTGAAATTTGACATTCCCTGGGCGATGAGATTTTTCTGAAATAATAACACAATGGAGTCATTGTGATATCAGATACGGAAATGAAATTGATGACAAACAAAGTACCTCATTGATGTATCGAACACAGTAAAACAAGAGCAATTTTGTGTTATAGCCGTAGAAAAACGTTATTTTCCGTACGTTACCGTCTACGTGGAGGTATACGTACAGTGTGTACTTCAACTCTCTAATATTTGCGATTTCAGCTTCAGTTTGCTAAGTAACGTATATTCATGATGTATTGTTTGTCACCAAACAAGAATCTAAATAACAACAAATTAGATCTGATATATCATAGATGTCATGTTACAAATGTGTTTGTGATATCGCACTGTTACCTAAACGCGACATCTCAGAGATGCCATGTCACAGATGTGTTGGCTGGTTAGCCAATCATTTGGTATCATACTGATAATTTGTTAGTAGCAAATTGCACCGATAATTTTTTCACGTTTGGATCTGGTGTAAAATGTCCGATTTTGCTGGACATTTTGCGAAATAGTTGAAAGAATAATCACGCCGAATTACATTCGAGGTGGTAATATTTTAATAGTTTAAACTAGGTGCACGAATCTTTGTTGCTATAGAAATCTCACGAGTGGACGAATGCTTAATCTTGATAATCGAATGATGTGATTGTTCAACGAGTATGAGAAAATCGCCGAAAAATCATATTTCTGGTTGATTTTCTTATATAAAATGTGTTATATAAGTATATCGCAAGTATATACAGTGTTCAATGCCAAAACAAGAGCAAATAATCGTATATGTGTAGCCAAAAACAATCGGAGGAAGGTAAATTTTCGAAATTGTTCGTGAAATATCTCGATGATTATGGAATTTTTCACATTTTCATTATGAAATTCGTGTTATTCAGACAAAAATACGTAGGAAACAAGGAACATTCCCGATTACAAAAACCCATGTCATGATAAGTGCAAAATTATCCTCAGATACCTTTGGAAAACACAAATATAAATAGTTATTTAACCAACTAATAGGGACGATTAATGAATAAAATATTTAAACATGTGGGCGGAGCGATTTTTGTTCTTGTTGAAAAAAAAAACGAGGAAGCTTGATAGGACAAGTTCACGATGCGTATATTTTCTCTTGGGCTCTCCATCGACCATCACCGAGATGGTGTGCACCCGGTCTCGTTTCTGGCCGACGTTGAGGTCGATGGTGGCCAGACGTTCGACGCTGCCGCTGGTCTTGCGCTCTTTGGCACGTTCTTGAGCCTGGTTGATGTTCAGGTTGGTAGTTGAGACGGAGGTGGTTTTTTCGATGATCGATATTTCAGTTAGCAGTACGTTTGGGAGTCGCATAAAATCTTAAGATAATAAGTTCAATATATTTTCAACGTATTTTCATAAAAATTTCGACTTTTAGTGAAAGTGATATAGGGCATTTTCACTAGTTTGCCGTAACACTTGGTTTCTAACTGTGAATACGGTAAGAAAACTAAATTTCTTTTTGCGGCTCTATACAAACACTGGAATACAATAGCAGATAGCAGTTGTGGCGAAAAATCCCATCAATTGTTCAGCACACATTTTGAGCGATTGATACGTTGAAAAAAGAATTTTTCCGTCGACCTCGTATTAACGACTAAGTTTAATGTATATGAAATCGTTCATTAATGACCCCTATTAATGGACGATTTGTCTATTAATGCACGATTGTTTTATAGGCAACCAAACATACACCGCGTGCATTCATTGTTCATGCTATAACTAGCGGAATCTGCATTTAAATCGAAAATATGGATTTCATCGACGATTTTCCGTTAACGGGTTCGCCTTTCCAAGTTTCTGACACGATTTTAATCCCTGTTTTCTAACACAAGGAATTTATTTCCTATGTTGATCATTTCGACAAATGTCAAATGACACTAATGTCAGTAACAAGGCTACTGGGTGATTCTTAGCAGTTTCCGGATGGATGATGAATTCGCGAACCAAGTTTTCTTCATTGCAGGAGAAATGAGAAATATAGTCGACGGAAAAATTTTGTAACCAACTTGTATATTAAAAGGCGATTAATGATCTCGAACATTAACGCACTCGCTTCGCTCGCACGTTAAAATATCTCGATCATTAATCGCCCTCATTAATACACTAGTTGGTTAAATAACTATTAAAATTACAGTTCAATTTTATGTAACCTTTAACCTTGAAAACAAGACGCTGAATTCCTCTTTCCACCAGCTTTCCAATGAGGGGTCACAAGCCATAGGGTTTCATTTTAAAAAATCATGTTGGGGGTTGAGGGATATATTCTCGATATTGCTTGCAAAACGTAGGAAAATACATTAAATCGTTGACGTATGTCGGGAATTTTTAGAAAAAATATCATCTACCCGCTATCGAATTTATTCCAGTACACTGTATATAAAATGTGTCATTCAAGTACACACACAGAACTAGTGGAGTACAGTTCTGATAAAACGTCTGATAGTTTCTGACTTTCAATTTTGTGAATGCGAACAAACTCATTATTATTGTTAGCGTATGGTGGTGGTGTTAGTGATTATCTTTAATTCCTCGAATAAACTTTCAATAGTGTGAAAACGTTCATCATTATTCGTCTAGTGAAATTCTTCACATACCTATCATTATTATAACCGTCCTTACCCAAGGAATGCCTCCCCAACCGCGGCGACGTCTGCGTCGGGCTGTGGGGCGGCCTGGCGCTGAGCAGCGGCGCCAACGCCCCCACGCCCGGCACGTTGGCGGGGCGGCGCGCCAGCTCGGGCGGCGGGCGGGCATCAGGCGTGGGCGGGCCCGTCTGGCACGGCCGCGGGGCGAGCGCCGGCTCCGCTGCGGGCGGCGACGAGCCCGGGCAGCTGTGGCAGCTGAGCAGGGACGGGTGGCGGCGGTGGGGGGGCGAGGTGCCGCCGGGCGGGGCGGAGAGCGGCGGGGGGTCCGAGGTGGGCGGGGTCGTACCTGGATGGGGGGTGGGCGGTGTCAATCGCACTTACTCAATCCTAGGGTCCTTTGATGGAAATTGACGTTAAAGTCATCTTAACAGGGTACGGACAGATCCTCGTCTCCTCTCACACTGAAGTGTTTGTGAAACAGTTATACATTTCATATGGAAATTACGTATGATACGCCAAAGACCTCAATATGACCTAATAAATCTAGTGTTTATCCCCAGAATTGAATAAGGATGGAACTATACAGGGTGTTTCTTAAGTACATGTAGAAAATTCAGGAGCATGTTGCTGACGTCAATATAAGAAGAAAAGTTCGTATAAATATAAGTCCGAGAGTTATTCGTTTCTGAGATACAGAGTGTCAAAGTTGAATTCTTATTCTTGTTTTTTGTAAATAAATTTCAAAATAATTGTGACATTCGAATGAAGTTTGGTATCTAGGGGTATTTTTTGTCTTTTGTCTTTTGAGTCAAGATACCAAACTTAATTCGAATGTCACAATTATTTTGAAATTTATTTACAAAAAACAAAAATAAGACTTCAACTATGACCCTCTGTATCTCAGAAACGAATAACTTTCGGACATATATTTATACGAACTTTTCTTCTTATTTTGACGTCAGCGACATGCTCCTGAATTTGCTGCACGTACTTAAGAAACACCCTGTATAGTTCCATCCTTATTCAATTCTGGGGATAATTACTAGATTTTTTAGGTCATATCGAGGTCATTGGCGTATCATACGTAATTTCCATATGAAATTCCTGATTCAACTATACCAAGATATAGATGAACAATCCTCTAGTTTCAGAGTTTCCTACTCCAGCATAATCTCTGCAAGGTAGGGAACATATAATTTGGACTAAAAGCTTGATATATTTCACCAAAAGATACTGTTCCTAGACTGTATACCAGGGTTGACTGAATTGACTGAATGAATTCTGATTTCAAGCTGAGCAGTAGTTTATCTATGAGCTGAATGAGCTGAGCCTTATGATTGAGAAATGATGGAAACCTCGATGATGTGTTATACTGTTATACTGTATACCTACTTCTTTGTTACTTTCATCAATAGAGAGAGAGAGAGAGAACATCTTTATTAGGGATATACCCCAAAAGGCCATTGACCGAAGTCTTTCAGCCTTTCATCAATAAATTATTTGGAAATGACTTTTTATTCAAGGGAGGCGGAAAAATCATATGTATAACATGGGGGTAAAGTATATTCTATTCTTTATTTTCCTGCAATATCACGTATTACTTTTTATAAGCCTACTTTTCGTCCTAGAATTAGTCACTCCATAATTTTTTTTTCCGAGTTGGATTACCGAAAATATATTTAGCACACATGCCATGAGTACAGTAGTCCAGATACCCACATCGAGGTTTTCACTATTTCTCAAGCCAAGTCTCAGCTCATTCAGCTCATAGTTAAACTATCGCTCAGCTTGAAATCAGAATTCATTCAGTCAATTCAGTCAACCCTGGTATACAGTCTAAAAACAGTCTCTTTTGGTGAAATATATTAAGCTTTCAGTACAATTTATGTGATCCCTAAATCGCAAAGATTATGCTGGAGTAGTAAACTCTAAAACTAGAGGATTGTTCATCCATATCTTGGTATAGTTGAATCAGGAATTCCATATGGAAATTACGTATGATACGCCAATGAACTCGATATAACCTAAAAAACAACAAATGCCAAAAATCTGATAGGAATTTTGAGCCGATACCACTCGATACATCTAGAAATCTCAGAGTAGTTACTCCTTTGATTTATTTCCACTACGTGTGACCAATATTTTTAAAACAAAAATTGTTTGCCTGTATGTCACTGTGGTAAATTATTTCTTGGTAATGGAAAGGGTTCGATCTCTTCACTACATATTGTATGTGAAGTTCTTCTATAATCACGAAATTTTTGGAAAAAATATATTTTCAGCCTATGTAAAATTCTTCCATATCGTTAGTGATTTTCGAAAAAAAATAGCACCTGTATACAAAATATCTCCCCCCTCCCCCGTATAATTTCATTATCAACATTAGTCATAGATAAATAATTTTTTGTTCGGAAATTAATCGGTAAGCAGCATGATTCAACGTATTAGTCATTCATTCGGGACCAGGTGGTGAATAAAGACAGTATTATATTAGATGTCATCACGTACGGTCGAGTTTTGTGATCGACATCGAAAAATACGCGAAAGGAATTATTTATCGTTCCAAACTGAGTGTTCCCTAAAAACTGAGTGATCGTTTTGAATCGTATATAGTGTTTTTGTATTCCTCATTCGATTCAATAATAATAATATCGGGATCGTGTTTTGTTCTAGTGTTTCGTGTTGTTTCATCAAAGCCTCACTTTTTTCACGCTGGTGAGTGCAGAGAATTTCTTTCAATTTTTCCTCATATTTCTGTGTATTCATTCAACTTCATTACCCTATACAGGGTATGTCACGACGAGCTTACACTATCTTTAAATCGAGAATCAGTCGGGAAAATCCATGGAAATGTGCATACTTATATTTTGGTATACGCTCTTTTCATTTAAGATATTATGTTCGACAATGCAGTGTTGCCGCTTCTACTAGAAAGTAGTAGCAACATTGATATTTCGAACAGAACACCCTGTATATTATCGCATTTCAAGATTCTCCCTGAAGAGTTGATTCCATCGATACTTGGGGTTTATCGAAAATGATTACAGAGATATAGGGTGTTCAAAATCGATATTTTTCAACTTTAGAGTTTTTTGTGTCGAAAATATTTTACTATTTACTGATATTTAATCACGACAGATACAGGGTGGTTCAATATTCAGAATTCTGATCACATGCATATTTTCATGGATTTCTCTCGACTGATTATCGACATTGAGGAGTAAGATTGTCGTGACATACTCTGTATGTTTCGTACCGTTTGTTGTATTTTCTCCGATCAAGGAATACTTTCTTCTGATTTTCGTGCTTCCTGTTCGAAACTGTATCTCTCAAGAATTTACCATTTTCAATAACTGTGATACAGAACTTTATCTTGATTTTGGCAAAATCTTCATCTATGGTTAGGTCATAACTTTTGAACCACTGTGTATAATCGATTCATACTTGGTAGGTATATATTCAACTCATATTTCTCATCAAAACTAAATATGAATCAAAATTAGAATCCAGATCCGTCTTCAGGCAAAACAATAAACTTCTTTTTTTTCAACAGTGCGCATCCAATTTGAAAAACAGTATTTTTATTGTCCTCGTTATTCGAAAAAAAAAAACAATTTTATTACAAAACAATAACCAGTCGTCAAATTTCAACTTGATTAGAGCCGAATTAGGTAAACTATCGATGGAATTCGTTCCATAGAACAATTTGTCAATAATAATTATTTTAGATATTTTCGAGTGTTCATTACATTTTCACACACACAAATCTATTGAGTATTTTACACTCTTGAATTTTTGTACGGAGATTCATATTCCGATATTATTTATTTTAGTATTGTCAGTAATTTTATATACATATACAGGGTGATCCACGGTGGATGGCCTATTAGAAGTATCTGAAGAACGAAAAGACAGAACATTCTGAAAGATGGGATGCTTCGATAATTGAACATTTTCTATCCGTCTAAAATATTTTCATTGATACAGTGTTGCCACTCCTATCAGAAACAACTAGCAACTTCGTTATTTTAAATGGAACACCCTGTATTTTATTGCATTTCTAGATTTTTCCTGAAGAGCTGATTTCATCAATGTATCACACTTGGGGTCTAGCAGGAATGATTACAGATAATAGGGTGTTCAAAATCGAGATTTTTCAATTTCAGGAGTTTTTTGTGTCTAAACTATTCATTATCGATCAAAACGGATTACATGACCCTATATTAACTTTCGATTCACTATATACTGACATTTAATTGAAACAGATACAGGGTGATCAGAATTCTGAATCTTGAAGCACCCTGTATTTTTTCCAATAAATTTCCAGTAGATAGTGAATCAAAAGTTAAGATAGGGACATGTAAGCCGTTTTGATCAATAATGAATAGTTTCGACACAAAAAAATCCTAAATTTGAAAAATCTCGATTTTGAACACCCTATATCTCTGTAATCATTCCTGCTAGACCCCAAGTGTGATGCATTGATGAAATCAGCTCTTCAGAAAAAAATCTGAAAATGCAATAAAATACAGTGTGTTCCATTTGAAATAACAAATTGCTAGTTGTTTCTGATAGAAGTGGCAACACTATATCGATGAAAATATTTTAGACGGATAGAGAATGTTTAATTATCGGAGCATACAAATTTTCAGAATGTTCTGTTTTTTCGTTCTCCAGATACTTCTAATAGGCCATCCACCGTGGATCAGCCTGTATATTATACGTCTCCGAAGTTTTTGTGTATTACACTCTTGAACTTTTGTACCTAGTTAGTTTAATATTCCAAAATTATTAATCTTAGTATTTTCAATAATAGCTCGTCAAACGAGATTCATACTTTTTCACCACGTACAAGCAGCATTTGCTGCTTCTGTGGGTATTCTAATGTTTATTTTTCTAATGTTAACTCGCTATCATTATTTCTTCCATTGTATTCTGATTCTGTCGAAATAAACATATTTTTATTATTATTATACCAAATGCCAATTTGGATGCGCGCTTATAAAAAGTAGACCACATTGTTCATTATTTTCCTCTTCTGTCCAGTTAACAGAACATATCTATATATTTTGGGAAAGGTTATATTTTCAGCCTAGGTTGAATATTTTTAAATCAAATAATACTGTCAGTATATCCGTGTTCAATACTTCATCTTATACAGGGTGATTCACATAACAACCGACATAGGGCAGGGGCATGTAGGGGGTCCCAAAATATGGCAATTTAACGCAACTTACCTCTATACCAAGTTGCTTCCCTAAGGAGTTATAGGCATAGCACTAACAGCATGTTAACTTGCTCGTTAAAAGAAAACTTCTCGTTCATTTCAAAAACACTCTAACAACA